ACTGCCAGACTACATGGATACTACTTAAGTGTATATCAGTGTTCCAGACAGCACGCAATGCTGCCCAACTGGAGGCCAGCTCGCAAGCCAACCTTGAATTTAAGTTCGAATTCGTGTCCTGCCCAGTCAACGCACTCTCATGTCTTAAAAGAGTGAGAGTTCAGCTAACCAAACCGTTGCCCGATCAGTGGGATCAAAAAATAAAGAAGAAGGACAACCAAAATATAATCCACGAGGCAACATGCAATTGGCAAACAGACAAAGAGATGAAGGGGCTATAAATATCCGCAAGACACATTATAATGACAGCAATAAAGAACATGATGATGACTCGGCACACCCCATTCATCAACATCGATGAGATGACTCCGCAGGCACAGGCACACGCACAGGCAGAGAGGCACACGCAAGGGCTGAGGCACAGAGTCAGCGGGACAGCGGGAGCACTGCCGTCATCCCCATGCCTATATTAATGCCATCCCGATCACTCATTGAACTGCTTTGCCTCCATGTTCGCGTTGCGACAACGTGTTGCACATGGCTGCCACTGGACGTGGCCCACAGCTCTAAGTGCAATATGAGTAGCACTCGACGCTTGAAGATTATTTAAATCGCTGCTGGCAACAGGCTGGCAATACGTTTGGGAGCTGGCGACGGGTTCCATGCCGCTGCTGGCAGCTGTTGCGTCTGGGAAAGGGAAACTGAGAATTGGCCCCCACCCACACATACATATTTGGCAGCCAATGTGGCTGCTGTTGCTGCTGCGCGGGCAGCTGTTGATGGTATGCGGCTAATTACCGAGACACACACAGACACAGACACAGACACACAACTCTCCCGACTGGTCTGTGGATTGTCCGGCTATCCAGCTATCCAGCCTGGCAACCGTCTAGCGGAATCGCTTTGTGTGCCATTTTTGGCTCATGTTTATAACTTGATTTTGTTGCGCTATTTGCGCGGCAGCAGTTTCTATGTAGGTCATTCCCTCTGCTGGATAAACCGAAGTCTTATTTAGTTTTTATGCTGCAGCTGCCGCTGAAAGTGAATTCAGGGCGCCATTTCGAAAGGAATTAACCCAGTTAATAAACGTGGCGAATGTGTAAATAATATCTAATGGCAAAGTTAGTCGCCAAAGCAAACAAAAGAACTCTAAAGTTCGAAGCCTACACTGCGCTGCATAAATATACACACACCCAGAATTATGCTTGGGCGGCATTGCAAATTGATGCCAATGTATTAAATTATAACATTTTTTAATTGATTCATAATTAATCCAGCATGCATAAGCTCAATACGTTTTGTTTTTAGTTTTTCTTCGAATATAATGAAAGTGCAACTGAATATTTCTTTATAGATTAATTGGCTTAAATGCCCAAAACAGCGAAATGCTCTAGGAATTGTAATAGATACATTTAAGACGTGGAGCCAGAAATCAGAAATTATATCTACGCAATTAGCCGATTCCGTTTAATATTTCAATGTTGAATTCTTTGTTGGCCATGTAATTGCAAATTCGTAAATTTTCAAAATATGTACGTAATCAATTCTTGCAAGCAAATGATTCACAGTATCTATTTACAATATTAATTTGTATGCTTCTGCTTGAAATTGCTTACGGTTTTGAATATGTGTACATATGTATGTACCTTGAGCGCTATGAGATCAGCTTTTGGGACTTATGCGAGCTTCTACATTTTTTATTTACGTTTATGTGTGCCGTATAACATGTCTTTAATTATTTATTTACATTTTCGTTATCATGCTCTACCTTTATTTAGGCCTAAAAGCTACAAATTTGTGACGATATCAAATTACCTGTTGGCTTTAATCGTTATTCAGATTGACAAACATGTAGATCTTATGCTGCGGCCCGCGACTTGGCGTGCAACAGTTGGACCTGGACCTGGGCCCGAACCCGGGTCTCTCTCCATATGCGGGTTAATGCTCCGATTGGGATGTCGCAACAACTTGTTTCGGTGCACTCGCTCCACTGCCGGCTATTGGCCGGCTTTAGGCCGTTTTATTTATGCAAAGCTCTTTGGAAAATATTTCCACCTTGAATGGAGGCACTTAAATTGTTAACATGCAAAACAGTCAGCCAAGCATGTGCCAAGTGTCAGACTTGTTGATGTGCATGTGTGTGTGTGTGTGCGTGCGTGTGAGTGTCTTTAAAACAAAAGCGAAAACAAATAAAGTGAAATTTGGCATGCAAATCCTTTAAATCAAACAGAACAAATTGCGGGAGGGTGGCTAACAAAAAAAAAAAAAAAAAAGGCACAATAAACGTTGACAAAATGTCGAGTGAAATGACAGCGCATTTTTTGGCGCCCCCACCGAGGAGCTTAGCCCGGCCTCCATCTCCAGCTCCAGCCGCGCTAACCCTCGCTGCGAACAGCTGTTGCTGGGGAAAGTACAACAAATTGGAAAATATAAAATCAACAGAGCTAATAGTTCACTTAGGGGCAACAACCAAGCAGGCGACGACGACATGGGGTTGGGCTGCTTGGTTTGACATACTGGCACACATTTGCCCCCGCTTCCCCACTTTGCCCAGCAGCACACACACACACACCGAAAGAAACGCACACAAGCAGACACACACACACACACACACACACACGTGTATACATACGCCGTGCAGGCGTTGTCCATAGCCCTTTCTTGTGGCCCGCAGTCATATTGAGCCGATTTACTATTGAAAATAAATTTTTATTCGATTTTCTTTTTGCTCGCCTCTGCTACTTGCCACATTTGACAGCGTTCTTGGGTCTTCTTCTTGCGCCCGCTTTGAAGCATGCAACGCTCTGACGACTTTTTGGATTTGATGTGAAAGTGCGTAGCTTTTTACGACTTTCAGTTTCCGATTTGTTTCCATTTCAACATATATATGGGTTTTGGGGCTGTGGAATCATCTATTTTGATTTGGATTTCCAGCAGTTGTTTCTGATTTTCAAATAAAATTTGTTCGCTTATTAGTTTGACGGATCGCATATGGCGCAGCATAAATCAAATATATGGTATATGTGAAAGTACAAACACGGCGGAAAATCACAATGAATCATAAATTTACGAGTGTGAAATATGATTACATGATTTCCGTTGCCAGCAAATCTAACGTGTATTTTTTTTTTTTGATTACACCATTGCAAGCACAGAGATTGCCTGCCACGCCCCCGCAGCTGCAGAGGAACGGTTACAATAAGTTGGTTAGGCCCTACTAATCGGCATTACGTTCGATCCATCCCAAGCACTCTTAACACTGTCAACTGAGCTCTTCTGACAGCTACCCATCTGGCTGGCAATTTGGGCGCCTCAAGCATGCCTGGGCGGGCCAAGCCTGTCTGTGAACAGCATAAATGTTGCCTCATTATAAGAATAACTCAAGTATAGAACTCTTTAAACTTTGTTGGTGTCTGCTAACAAATGTACAATTGCCGATTAAAATGCATAAACTGTTCGGCTTGCGAGTGTCAAATTTACCAGTATCTTTTCTTTTCTGTTTACCCCTTTTGGAGTTGAGCAGATTTTTAGCAGAGTTATCCGAAACTTAGATCGGGAGTAACTTCTATTGTAGCTTCTCCCTCGTTTCTTGACACATTTCTCAATTTCTAGTAATATCTAATCAGTTAGATCTTCATTCCCCTTCAAATCTTTCATAATTCGAGTCTTGTTGAACATTCCAGAATTGCCGTCATCAAAATGTTATAAACAAAATGTGCTCTTAATTAATTGAATGAAACACTTTTACTTGCCGCTCACAATTGACCGTCATTTGCATAGGCATAGAGTGTGGGTACTCGTGCGTTTTGAGTGAGTATTGCTTATATAAAGTTGGGTATATTGCTGTGTTCTTGTCATGTCGTGTGCTACGCTAAACTCGATAAATATTAATTGTTTTCTTTTGTCCAGCGAGACAATTTGAGGTCAGCTAAATACTTATGTCTCTATGTACTCACATAGTTGCCGAGTGTGCGTGTGTGTGTGATATGGCGCCCATTAATTGTATTAGATTATGCCCAAGTGAAGGGCTTGGAACCGGGTTCGAGCTAAATAAGCGCGTTGACAATTTGAATTTGAATATCAGCTGCTGCTGTTTGGGCATGTGTAATTACCAAATGAGCACAGCCCAATATAATGATTTATTAAGTGGGCAACTACAATTTTATTTCGCCGCTCAGTGTACAAATTTTATTTATGGGCAATTTGTTGCTTGAGCCCTCTGACATTTTCACTCGTTTTTATGAACTCCCTGCCAGCTGGGTGTGTCTGCGCAACTCGTTCGTTTATCTTAGCTTAAAGTATAAATAACATCTAACAATTCGGCGATCAGCACCACATCTTATTGTCATTAATCTCGACAAGCAATGGGCCTCAGCTTGAGCCATTGTCTGACATAAACAACTTGTCCCATGTGCAACAGTGCAGCGCATGAAGTTGTTTGCTTGTAAAACGACCGCAAAATTGTCTGGCTTCGAGCTTGATGCCTGCGGCTGCAAGCGGCGTGTGGGGCAACGCAGGTGTGGTTGACACTGAGGCACCGTCCACCCACAATTCCTAATTGCAAACAAGTCTGCAGACCTGCAAATAAGCACGTGGCCGCTCCAGGGGGTTTTCTGCGCATAGTTAATGGTCTCGTATTACCAATGATTGTGTCCGGTGGATAAAGTGTCTGCGGTTGCTTAAATTTGCCGCAAAGGTGCAGGTGCATTACCAAAGTGACCTCTGAATAGGTATACAAGTTGTTCTAATACCCTATAAATAAACCATATTCCCAGTAGACCCAGTCATTCAGAATGTAAATAGCTTATAGGTAATTCTTACTAATTATGGTTTACTAAAAATAATAATAAGAGTATTAATAATAACCTGGACTATAGTAGCTATAAACTATTTATGTATTATGTCTACATAAGTATTTTAAAAAATTGTTCATCTTAAAGATAATTCTCTTCTTAATTCTATATATATATTAAATTAGTTATTCGTACTTCTTTTCGCAGCATTCTGCCTGTTAACAATGCGTTCGCTTCTGTACATCGTTTGGCTGGTGCTGCCATTTCTGGTTCCAGTTTTGGGCTCTTTCGAATTAAGTGGCCAGACCATTAAAGGTAAATATTAACTCTATTTAATTTTATTACATTTAGTTTTTTACTGGTACTTAGCAGCTGGAAGTTTCCTTAAAACTGTTGTTCAACTTTAAAGACTTAAATATTAGCCAGAGAATTAATGTTAAATGTTTGCTTTTTTCAAAATATATGAAACAGATCCTATTAATATTTCAACATGAATAATAACTATTAATTGAAAACAATTGTTTTAAAAAATTCGTTGCACGCTTTCGGGAGGCCTTGAATAATATAATAATACAGACTTATTCAATGCATACCTTAAGGCGGGCATCAACATTCATACTCATAACTGCTCAATTTTATTTATACACTTATTTGAATTGGCATCGATTGGCATATCTTTATCCCAATTTAATTATTCCTTCCTATTTTTATATCAACAGATGCACTCGGTGAATATATGCTGACGGATATAATGAACAGCAATCAGTATACGGGCATTGAGTTTGCGGAGGGAGAGGATGGCTTTCCGGCCTTCAAGCTGCTCTCCACGGCAGATGTAAAGTCGCCCTATCAAATGTTGCTGCCCGAGAAGCTATACGAGTTCGCCATACTAATCACCTATCGCCAGAGCTCGCTGAAGGGCGGCTATCTGTTTAGCGTGGTGAATCCACTGGACACTGTGGTGCAGCTGGGCGTGCATCTATCGCCGGTTGTCAAGAACAGCTACAATGTGACGCTGGTTTATGCGCAACCCGACCAGAGCGCAGGACGGAAGTTGGCCAGTTTTGCGGTTGCCCACGTGCCGGACAAGTGGAACTCGATTGCATTTCAGGTGTACAGTGACAAAGTGGTTTTCTATTATGACTGCATACTGCGCAACACCACGACTGTGGTGCGAGATCCCTTTGAGCTGGTATTCGCGTCGGCCTCGGTACTGTATATTGGCCAGGCTGGTTCCATAATTGGTGGCCACTTCGAGGTAAGTTCTGGCGGCGGCCAATTTGCTTACGCATATAATAATTATTGTAATAGCAGACGCCAACTGGCAGCACACATGTCTATTTAATTGATAAGGGGTCGCGATTGAATGGGTAATTTGGGCAACTCGGGTCTTTTTGGGAATTTACGGAGCGGCACATCAAAGACATAAAGACCACATGCCTTTACGCATTTCAATATGTACTCGAAACTCTTGTGCAATGAACTCAATGTACTCGTAAAAGTACACGCAAGTACTCGTTGAATAGCTGCAAGTGGCTGTTTCAACCATTCAAGCATTCAACCACCAACGGATGTGTTGAAATAGTTCGCTGTAGAGCTTTTCAACACACCTGCTGGCAACAATTCCACCACTGCACCCTTATGGGGCGCCAGTTTGCCACGTAGCGGCCAAATTGGCAGACAACTCAGACTCGGCACTCAGTTGGCTTCACTCAGTGCGCACAGCTAAAAGGTACTCACACTCATATTAAGTATACGCCAAGCATGACAGAGTTTCACTCAAGGCTCGCGCGCTCTCTGTGCTTTATTCAGCGCCTGTGAGGACGAAGTCTTGGCGGGCACGAGTGAAATTTTGTTGTCTGAGGCACGAGCTCAGCTGGAGCCAGTGTATCCTGAGTGTTTGTGTGTCCATGTGCGCGCCATGTTGCTGTGATTTGGCTTACGTTGGGCCTGGCCGAGACGAGTGCGTTTACCTTTCAGTCGCGTTCGGTGCCGCAAACAGTTAACATGTGCGTACGGCTGAGACGAGACAGCGCTACGTTTTTCCACACTGCCACAGCACACGCTGAAGTCGCGCTCTGACTCGTCGCCTCCTGTCGTAGCTCGGTCTTGTTCTCGACCACGTCCTCATCCTCGGCGCTGTCGTCGCCGACTCTGGTCGGCATCGTGAAGCGTATGCGGCTATGTGTGAGCCAGGCGTAAATGAAGCCATTGTGCGAGTTTAGCCGCAAAAAACGAAAGTGATTTATGCCTAAATGAAATATGTTTGCATAATGTCCAAGTGAACCGAAACGTGTAACGTGTAACGTGAACCCGAAACCAGCCAAAAAACATCGAAGCCCCCAACGGACTCGAGTCAATTAAAATTCAATTATGCGTTCAAAGATGAAGCAAAGATGGCGCAAACGTTTGAAATTGCGACCACTCACCTAGCTGCCAATGCCAGTGCCCCAGTGCCCCTCTGACTGGAACAGTCTTCGAGACCATATCAACCTGACTACGTTACATATCAAACAACATTCCTGGCCGCATTCGTGTCGCTGATTGTTGCGCGTGTCCCTTGCCTATATCGCGTGCAGTTGACTAAACGCCTGGCCAGATTTTCTGCAAAATTAATAAACGTAATGCTCGAGTATTACCTATAGCCAGTAAATTACCAACATATCCACACACCCAGCCCCCGCGCCCGGCTTGGTAAATAAAGTGTGGCGTAAAAAACCAACAGAGACCAACACAAATTTGTTTGCCCGCCGAGCAAATATTTACAATTAGTTTGGCTGGCAACACGGCTTTTTATTCCTGTTGCAGTTCGCGTTATTGTTGTTGTACATTTTGTATTATGCTCTTGTTTTTCGTGTTGTGCTACTTGCCGTGTCCATCGCCATCGCCGTGTCAAGCGTGTAAAATTTGAGCAGCTCCGTTGCCAACGTCGTCGTCGCCGTCGCCGGTTGTAAAAGTTTCGTGTGGACCAAAAGCGGCGCCGGTTCAAGTTGAAGATGAAAAATTTAAAACTCACAACTTTTTGCCACTGCCATTGTCAGTACCGCGCGCATCGAGCTGCCCCTGCCCCAGCAGCTGGCTCTCAGTGAATTTGTTCAAATGGAAATCAATCAATTGCACAACGCAAAAATGCATGTGGTGTGGCAGCGAGAGAATTAATTGCGCTCAGCGGGAGCCAACGGCTGGCAGCCCAGCTAACAAACGCACATTGCCACAACTATTTCGTTTTTTGTTTAAACAAATAAAATACGCTGTCATTTGTAATTACAAATGAGTTGCCGATAAGTGCATAACTTGAACGAAATAAAAGAAATAACACAATCGGAAAGTGTAACGCAAAAAAAAAAATAAAAATAAATAAATAACTATTGTAATTTAATTATCTGTGATTTTGTCAACATATTCAATATTATCAACACATACATATGCAAATGCAAATACATATACAAATACGCTACCACGTGCATATCGCGTAGTTAAAGCTATAGCTTAATCCAACTGACTTTTAACGCGCTCAACTCGAAGGTAAATACATGCATACATTTTAATAATATATATATGTATTTATATATATACATATATATTTGAATATATATGCTATATGGTTCGTACTCTGCTGGCATTAGGAGTACAATAGGCCACACAAATGGTTTGAATGTCGCAGGCTGTTGCCTATCAAATTGAGCATTGGCTGCGCATAAATTATGACAAGCTGGGCGGAGTAGGAGGGACTAGGAGCAGGTGGGGGTGGGGCGGAGGCAGCGGCTTCCCAGGCTCGTTGCGCCTTATTCGCGTTGGCCCAAATCAAAGGCAAACTCATTAAGGCAGCGCAATGCAGTAGCAACAACAAGCATGAATAACCAACATACACACACGCACACACACAGCACACACTCACACATGTGCATATTAAAGCTGCGCTATGTGTGTGTACGCCTGTGTGCGTAATATTGTGTATACGTAGACTATTGTGCGCTCCGGCCGACCGCCTTTGTCTTTAGCGTTCTGGCCGCCAGGCAAACGAATATACGTTTTATTTATTAAATAAAAGGCCTTTTAAGCGCCTGCATTATAACAAAAGATATACGCAGACTTACCCTGACCTCTGGCAACAGATATAAGGTTAACAGACGGACAAAGTATAAGCCAGGCTATTGATGACATCCCAAAATAAGCATTAAGCATCCATATGGGGCCAAAAGTTAAATATTTAAAACATGACTCCATTAATTCCTCGAGTCACAAAACTACTTTTGCGGCTGTCACAGGCTCAGGCTCAGCATTTCAATTGCGGCTTTACTTACGTCAGCCTCGTAACAATTCGCTTTCCCAACCCGAAAATATGGACTAGCTGAAATATGGTATTTGGAAATTTTCAGCTTTTGCTGTGCAATCAGTGCGTGCATTTAATTAAATGGTATTACGCATATGACATGTAACAACAACAACAACAGGAATATCAAAAACCGAGAACTTTAAATAGTTTATATATTGGTTTGCTGTGCGGGGCTTAGTTCGACTCGTGTTAAAGACTGGCAACAAGCATGAATACATACTTATATATATAATTGTGTAGTCATAAATTTTCATTGCTGAATGTTGCGTGCCTTTCTCTCTGCGTGTGTGCGTGTGTGTGCATGTGTGTGTGTAAAACGTACATTTAAATATATCACAATTTGATTGTGTGTTCTACAGCTGCTGCTGCTGCTGGTGCTGTTGTTGTTGTTGTTGTTAACACCGTTGGCTTACATGCCAGCCCCTCAATGTGGGCTTTATTTTCAGTAATATGTAATTTTGATTTGCAAATTTATCAATTTGGCATCATAATACAATATTTTGACCCATTATGTTGACACAATTTAAAATTCAATTTAAAATGTTTATTTACATATTCAGTCAAATTGCCTCCCACAATAAGTTGTTTTCCATTTACCGCGATTGTGTTTTGAAATTAGTTTTCAACTAAACCATTGTCTACAAATATAAATACGTGAACACAGGCAATCGCCCAGATTTCAATTATATATAAATGCAAATTCTCTAACATACATTAACATGTCAACGGAATTTGTAATACAGCATTGTGATTAGATTTAATTAAATTCCAAGTAAAATTTCAGAAGTACGGTCTAGTGCATTTTTTAGTAGCGCTCTCTGAGATTTTCATAACTTCAAGCACGCCATAAAATTGACAACTCAAACAGTTTTTTTAGTAACTCGTCCGAATGGGTTTATGCACAGATTATCTCCCTTTTTTAAAGAATATTTTACTTTGCTCTTTTTTAGTCTGATTACTCATCAAAATTGTAGCACTATAATTTCTATTCATGCTTGCCTTTTCAAAGTATATTTCTGCTCCCATTGCTTTATTTCGGTCATGATGAAGATACATGCACAGACTTTTTATAAGCAATAATGTATCTTTTATTGCTAATAAAGATGCAGCTCGTTAAATTTAAATACAATGCTGATTTTATGGTTAGCTCTGTGATTTGTGGACTCGAGGCAAATGGTTGGCCAACTAAAAAACGTTTCCATGAGAAAGTAAAGCCAATCAAAAAACTATTTTATATGATTATATGGCTGCCCGATTGGGGCCTTTAAGCAAGGAAATAAGCGCCCGTACCCAAAAACCCGGCACCAATAAAGATAAATTATGCAAACGTTGGACTTTAATTATACGACTAGTGAAGCGGTTAACGCCCAGTGCGCCCACTTGTTATGTAGCCAGGGAAATGTGCCCGACTAGTTGGCTTCTTATTAATTTAACCAGCTATTTATGTGCCCGTTGGAGCGCTCACATATACGCACAAATGAATATGCACACACGCACTCACTCCGTGACACATTTAGTCATGTGTGGAATGGGATTTGGGGCAATTGTCAAACAGGAGGCAGAGGAGCTGCTATCGATCAAACTAGCCCAAGTCGGAGTAAACTCTGGCAAGGGTGGGGCAGACATTCCTTCTGGTGACATTTTATTGTGCTTGCTTCTTATTAAGGATGCATGTGTGACACATGTTTAACCCCTGCTCAGCTGGAACATCAGTTAGACATTGTTACTTGAGCTTTGAATCAGACAAAGACATGCCAAATGAAATTATCTAAAGCGGAAGTTAGTCTCTGTTTGTGTGTGTGTGTCAAACGCTGTTTATTAAAAATAACATGTCAAAATGTAGAAGAAAAACCGCTTGGCAATGAATAGACATAAAATACACACACATGTCTATATATGTGTGTGTGTATGTGTGTGAGTAA